GAATAACAAAAGTTTCGGAAAGTTAAAAACCTTGGCGTATAGGCCTCATGAAGCTTCAATTTACCCTCTGCAGAAAATATACAATACTGCACAGCATTTTCAGAATAATTTTCTTCAAACTTTTGAAACAAATGCATCTTCAGGAAAAGAACATTTTCCCCGGAATTTCAGAGGGATCCACGATTGTTTTTACATTCCAGATCTAGATGTCACCCCCGGAAATTCTTCGCATGCCGATGAGCAGCAAATTCCAGGTCAGTTTATCGTGGCACGACTTTTCAGACCAGCACAAAACACCGATTCGGACACGGGAAATAAATTGTCCAGAATATTAATATGAATAATATATCGTAATCCTAATCACTTTTCTGCATTCTCGGCCGACTCGCCTTATCATAGCAGAGAATACATGCACTCCCTATTGTACTTTACTCATGAAAGTCACGCATAGTCCACAGCTAACGAGAAAATACCAGAGGGACATTCAGAAAAGGTTGAAGATTACGAAATTTCCTAGCACGAAACATACAGTGACAAATTTCCAGCATCATTCATCAATTCGTCATAGATTCAAAGACGACTTGAGAAAACCATGATGTGGGACAGTTGGTCAAACATAATTTGTAATTTATTTGTTCAATTCTTTCTATAGTGAATGAAAAAATGCGTACAGTACATGGTATCATGCATCAGAAGCACTTCGATTATCCATCAAACTCAAATTCAATTAAAACCAGCTCATTAACTGAGGATAAAATTTGTGGAACCTCATGAATTCTACTTGAACCGCTCAATTCCCCTGTGATCAAATCACTTTGTGGGCGATGAACTAAAAATTTTGCGCGAATTGTCATAATAAGAAGTCCGTTTGTTTTCGAATTTAAAAACCTGATCAATTCAATTTCCAGTGATTAGCCGATTTTTCGCCATGATCGAATTCTTGGGTGTATGCAGCAGCTGGTCATTAGCCCATGAGAAATTTCATAGAAATATTCATGAACTGCAACGACATGAGAATAATAAGCAGGACTGAGTAAGTACGTGAAAGAGAATGCAAAGTGACTGAGTTTCATTTAATTTTTTTTTTTACCACTGCATATTTATTCCATGTAAAACTTATGGGTTACCCTTTTGCAGGTGAAACCGCAGGGCCGGAATTTCCGCTGACGAATCCCAGTTGTGTTCACCAACAATGTTTCCAAAATTTTCATGAAAGTTCCTCGCAGGAAACTATCGAAACAACAAGAAGTGCTGTATTTAGTTTTCTTTATCTCTTCCGATTCCACAACGTTGTATTTGCCTTTGAAAAATCTATTCTTCTCAGGCGACTTCTATGGGTTACGTGTATATACTGTACAGCTTTTATCAGACGAAACTCGGCCGAGCCGTTTTCAAATCTTTTCTAAATTTCGGGGAACTCCACGAATACAGTATTTGTCAATTCATTCTTATTTTTAGTGGATTTGAAATGTAATAAAATGCTGGAAAAAGGCTTATTTTGTTTAGTGATGGAAGTAAATAATTCGTAAGAAGTTGTGGAATGCTTCGCTGCAAAACACAGATCATCACTCGACCTCTAAATTGGAAAATCAATTCTTGAATTTTCAGTGTGATTTTCGCTTTCCCCTATTTGCCTACGGTGGTTAAAGCTATCCCAAATTTATTTCAAATTGATATCAGGGCATTCTTTTTTTTATTTTAACATTCCATCTTGCAAACTCGTGAGGTGAAGAGAAAACAGATCAACATTTCATCAAAAAGTTTCTTTACTTATTTCCAGCAGCTATTAATTTGGATCAGCTGCAGAGAAGTGCAATTTTATTACGAAGAACGCGTTACTGGAAAAAGCAGAATTTATGGGCTTGAAATAGGGATTTAACATATGCAGAAATACTATATATCAAATTAAGGACAGGAAAGCTGAAAATTTCTGAAAATATTACGCGTGCCAAATATGTCTCAATTTTTTTCATTTTTCCAAGATTCCTAAACCCCTTTCTCATTCTTGAAATATTGTCCTAAAACTTAAAAAACTGCGTGAAAGGTTTTTTCTGCTGTAAGTTTACTCATTCGCCTCGTCATTAAGTCCAACTTGGTGAGAAAAATTTCATTTTTTGGTGCAGTCAAGCACAAAAATCACAAGTATTTTTTCTTTGTATTGATATATTTCTTTCATAATTAATGAAACGCTGTGCACAATTTCGTACATCAGTGGTATTTTGCATTCACTTGATATACAGTATATACAGTACAGCATTCGTAACTGATTTGCTGACTCGCTACACATTTTTGGATACTTTCAAGAGATTCAAATGCTTGACTTTTTCAAGAGTATTGCTGTTGAAATGAACCTTATTCAATGCATATATAGAAATGTTCTTCATCGTTGAAGTCTGTCGCAAATTAACAAGGGAAAATTATTGCCTCGCCCAAAATAACAGTTGAAATCAATCAGAGGATATTCCCAATTAAAATTCCTTCTCATCGTCACGACCGGGCAAATGGAATTCCGGTACATGGAAAACAACTCAAGAAATAAGGGCAATTAAAATACAAACTCGCGCGGTTTTCTATACTGTAGTTATTCTTATAATCACAATAAAGTGGGTTAATCACATAAACCTTATGCACAGTATTTACAGGGTAAGGGTGCCCAGGCACACCTGGTCTCACGATTCACGAAACATTTTAAAAATTCGTCCCACGTTATTTGCATTTTTAATCCATTTCTCATAGGTTCATGCACTGGTACAGTATATGCATTATTCAGCACATCACTTCCTTCAGCGTAAGCGTAGAAGCTTATTTCAGGCATTCCAGTGCACATGATGCCCATGGGAAGCTCAGCCGTTGAATTTCCACTTCACAAACTCGCGGAAGAGGAGATCTACAATTCACTCCGGAAAACGGAAACATCGTGGATCCGCGAAAGGAAATACACTATGTTTTTCTTCTGCTGGATGCATCATCTGAATACCGTACACTACTGTACATTTTTACATGGGGGGGGGGACGATTTTTTTTTTTCGGCGTGTGTCAGTTTTCCCATCACAAAGGCTGGGATCCGCGCAGGACGTTCCACTGGAAGTGCGCGAGTTCAGTTGGCCGTAGTTTGGTGTAACGCTCCTCTCCCACGACTTACATCTCCCTCGCTTCCCGCTTTCCGGCAGCCGTTAAACAGCAGGAGATCCGGGGGGTTTCCGAAAGTTTCTGTTGCATTCCATCCAGAGCAGTGTTCCCCAACCTTTTTTGGGCCGGAGGACCGGGAAATTTCCATAAAATTTCTTGTGGACTGGCGAATTCCCACATACTTTTCTTTGGACCAGCAAAGTTTTATTAAATGTGTTGCTGCAAAGACTGTATGGCAGGCATTTGAAAATGTTCTGCTTCTTTTGTTGCAAAAAGTAAGAAAAATTAAGCAGCTATAGGTAGTGGAATGTCTTCAAAATTTAGGAAGGCGGGGTTGAAGAAAGTTTACTCAGACTGGAAAACTTGAATTATGTATTTCATCAGGTGAAAATCTGTCTGAAGTTCAATTAAAACAAAAACTAACTTTTATTCCTTCATCAGATAATTTAAGCTGCAGTTGCCCTTTGGACATTTCAGATAAAAATAACAAACTTCATTGTTACTTTTTTTAATTTTTTATGGTGCAGAAAATTTTCTACAGATCAGCAAAAAACTTCTGTGGACTGGCACTGGTCTGCAGACCACTGCTGATCTGCAGAGATTTTTTGCCAGTCCATGGGAAATTTTCTGCATAATACCTTTTATCAAAAGTAGAGATGAAGTCAGTTCTTTTTGCCTAAAAGTTTGGAAGGAAAATTGCAGTTTAAATTATCTGATTGAAGTAGAAGTTGGCTTTTTGCCTAATAACACTTCAGGCAAATTGTTTATGCTGAAATGAATTATTTTAATTTTAAATTCTGAAAAACTTCTCTTCAAGTCCACCTTTCTAATTTTTTGATGAAATTTGTATATAGCTGCTTCATTTGGTGCTTACCTGAATTAAAAAAAAAAACAGAGAGTTTTAAATACCATCTGTAAAGTTTTCTAAACACACTTTTTCTGAGTCTAAATTTTCCACTGGGCACTGGGAATAAAAAAAACCTTTTTTCTCACCAAGGGCTAATTCCTGGAAAAGTCCAAGATTTTTTTCTAATCCTGGAGGAAATTTTCAATGAAAATTTTAAAAAATCCCTTGCTGGGTGGCATTTTTTCCTGCATTCCTGGCATATGATTTGCATGGGAAAATCTTGGAAAGAAAAGAAAATTTGCCTCATGGATTTTTCCAGACTTAGGCCTCCTCAACCTGGGTTCATTTCAGTAACCTTGGGTCAAACTGAAATGTGCCACCCCCAGAAAAATCCTGACTCTGCTATACACACTGAGAAATATCCCTCTGCTGTCCAAGGGTTAAAAAGCATGCACATGCTACATGTGTGAATATAGTAGTTAAAACAATTGCTGGGTGTTACTGTTATCATTAAGTGTTGCATACAATAGGTAGAAACCTTGATTTAGTCACACAAACATGTCCTCATGCCCATTCCTTGCCAGTAAATTGAGGGTATGAGCTATAAAGTATCTATGAAGTAAGAATGAATCAGTTTATATCTTTGGCAAAAGTCAAGGTTGCTCGGATTTTTTTTTAATTACCTTACTTCAATGGATCAATGGGGGACACACTCTTTAAAAAAAAACCAAAAACTGTTAGGGTCCTTCACACAATATTTCCTTACATGGATGAATTCTTTGGTTGAGTGTATTTACGTGCTTACCAGCGCATTATTTTCGATGCACATCTAATAAAATATAGTTCAATGGAAAGTTTATTCCGGACATCTTATCTTCAAGGGCGCTGGGTTAAGATCCTGCTTATATAGAGTCAATTGATTAGAATTATTACTCAGTGTGCTGCCTGATTCATTAGGGTTGAATAGACAGCTGTGATTCAGAAAAAATTAATAGGAATGGAGAGGCATGGCATTATAGAGTACTGAGATTATTCACTGCTGAATTCCTGATTCATTTTTTAATGCACAATAAGAGGGGCGCATGTCATCCATGCACATTCATTTTTTCTTCTCCCAGGTATGTATCACAAGAAAATTATGAATATTTTCTGGTGTTGTTTTTTTATGATGGAAAATCTTGCCTTTCTCATACAGTCAAAATTCCGATTGATCAGCAAAAAATCAGTTTGGGAGTTTTGAGTTAGGAAGGTATCTAATTAAGGAAACAAGAATTCTATTGTGGACAAAAGGAATTGCAGGGAATTGTAACTGGTGATATTCTTGGTCGTAAATTGATTCTTGGATGATTAAACAGGATGCTACCATTGGAGGCAAATGTTTAGTTGCCAATTGGTCTTTCACTCCCTTCAAGAAAATCATTGTTAAATTTTCATTTCTTTTCTATTTACTGTGTTAATGATATAATAGCCAACAGACCACCAGCAAATTCAAGGTGAAGATGCTTTAGGAGGAAATTCTTAGAGATAGGAAGGGTTATATTTGTTCCTAAGAGAATTCAGAGAGGGACTCAGAAAAAGTTGGCATTAGGAGCTATCCAACTTTGGGAGGTTTGAGTTATCCATATTCCACTGATGTAGAATGCTTGAATTTCTGCCTAAAGATGATTGCTAACTGGGTCTGTATTTTTAAGCCAACATGATAATTGCGGAAACATCAACTTTTTTAGCTAACAACTTTTCTAATATGGGGTCTCCAATTGATCAACTCAAGAATGACCCCACTGTACTTGGTCAAGCATGTCTTTTTTTTTCTCAGATGACACTTGCTTCTTTTGTCATGTTATGAATGAATGAATGAACAGAACACTTTATTTGCCACTTTTCAGCGTTCACAAGGCACAACCAATACTTCCACATCCAAACCCCCTCCCCACCCAACCCAACTCCCCCTGGCATGGTATCTGGTATAAATCATTATATTGCTGTACTTGGCATTATACTGCTGTGCCTTGTTCAGATAAGAATATTTAGAATACTTTTTAGAAAATAAAACATACTGTGATCAGCCAGGCTTTGGCTATGGGTTGCTCTACACCATAGTGTAAGGTTGATTTATTTGACAAATAGCAAAAATTCATAACACAATCAGCAGAGATGTTTTTTGAAATCTTTTGCATGAGACTGCCAGAAAAGAACGATTACACAACAACTCGCACAGCTACAACTCACACAGTGACAACTCACATAGCAACAACTCACACAGTGGGACAACTCACACAGGAACAACTCACATAGTGCAACAAATCACACAGTTCTTCTTTTTTACTGATTTTTCTTTTTTAATTTAGGTTCTGGCAAAAATGTATACTTTTCTTGTGTCTAGATTCTCTTTTAGCCTAAAGTAATTGTATACATTTATAATAAAATTTTTATTAATTTTTTTATACTTGTGTTTTCAACCTAGTCAAGGATAATTTTGAACCAAATTTATTGGGTACATTTATCATGTTCTATATTTTAAATACTTCTGTTTTCAATCTATTCAAGGATAATTCTGATGCATGCATTAATCCATGTTCTTCCTTTTAGGAATTGAGCCCCAGTCATTGTCATGGCTCACAGCAATTTTTGAAGCTTTCACAGGAATTTTTCAATTTCACTTCACAATCATTTTTGAAGAACCCATCTAAAATTGTTGGAAATCCAATGTCCAATCAAGCAATATTTACATCAATAACTGGGGGGGGGGGGGGATAGCTGTCAGCCATAAGCATGACTGGGGCTCAATTTCTAGGAAGAACATGGATTGATGCATGCATCAGAATTATCCTTGATTAGATTGAAAACAAAAGTATTAGAACATGATAAATGTACACAATTAATTTAGGAAAAAATTATCCTTGAATAGGTTGAAAACACAAGTATAAATTTTTTTTTAAATTGTATTATAAATGCATACAATTAAATTAGGATAAAGAAAATCCAGACACAAGAAAGGTATACATTTTTGCCAGAACCTGAATTGAAAAAAGAAAAATTATTTAAAAAAAACTGTGTGAGTTGTCTCACATGTGAGTTGTCGCTGTGTGAGTTGTTGCACTGTGTGAATTGTCACTATGTGAGTTGTCACTGTGTGAGTTGTCGCTATGTGAGTTGTCTCGTAACCATCTTGCAACATCAATGTATGCCAATTCCACAAATCAACCAGCAATTTATAGCACAGTGAAATCTTGTTGCAAAAAATACCATTACAATTTTTTCTTCAGTAAAACAAACTTTTTCTCAAGTCCCAGCAGAAAGTGTATGGAGTATACAGGTGCATGGTACCATGCAATTCAACCTCCCACAATTTGACCATCCCGCATTTCAACCATCAAATTTGCAGTGAGGTTGACTTGCAATTTGATGTCTACCCCAGAATTTGACCTGCTTTGGCCTTTTTAAAATTTTTGTGCTAATATTTCTTAAGTTTGTGAAGTGTCTTGCAATTTGACAACTTTAAATTTTGACTCCAGTCTTGTCAAATTGCAAGGTACCACCTGATACACAATAAGGCAATCTTGTTACAGCAAACTTTGAAATTCCAGATCTGTACTGCATGTATAGACACACCTGACAAGCATCCACTCCACCAAGGGCATAGTAACCTGCACACAGCATTCCATCATAAATGTTGGTCCATCCATAAGCATCTTCACAGTCCATTCTGGTGACAATTGGGACTTCTGCCTTCACCAGAACCCTGGCAAGTGAACCACCCTCTTGTGTAGTTCCCCAACCAGTAATATTGCACATCAGATCCTCTGCAACATTAAAATAGAATAGAGTACATTTATTGAATGCTGTCCATTGCCTATGCAGTCTAGATATTTTTTGGACAGCACTCAGGGTTTAGCTACTGAGTGTATAGATGTCAAAATGTGGAAAGTATGCTTTCCTTAGACTTTCAAGATTATTGTTCCAATTCCAAACATTTGAAACAATTGGAAAATTCTTCAAAATGAGAAGAAATTTCCAAAAATTTGAACTCTTTTGAATTCCATAACTTTAAGATTTTGGATACAAATCCTCACTGCAAAAGAAAAATTAAGTCAGTATACTTATTGAAATCTGGATCTTTTGACACTCTTGGTTACGGCCGTTCAATACGGCATAGGAATGGAGAATAAAGTCAATATGATAGAAATACGTTTTTCTTGAACTTCAACAAATTTAAAAGTTATTTTCCAACCATTTCAAATGATGAAATCATGCTTTGAAGACGAAGTAATGCATACGATTGTAAAAAAAAACAAAGGAAACGCAGAAGTAAAGAAAATAAATGACAAAATTAACCTTTTCTGGGGAATAAAAAAACAACACATTTGGTGTCACACGCATTGAATCAGGCTGAAATTCTGAACATATGCCTATCAAAATAATGGAAGGAACTTTAATCTGACGCATTTTCCAAAGTTTCAGCTCTATTTGTTTTGGGAAGTATAAATAGAAATACTTTTTCAGAGTTTTTCGATTTTCACACTTATTAGAATTCCTATTATAATTCCTGAGATACTGTATCTGGAAGTCGATTCATTCAGATGTCTGCAAATGCCCTGGATAGTGGGAGCCTCACATTTTTCGCGTAACGGACCTGAGCATGCCTAGATTGTATGCTTCGTATGTTGAACGCTGCTTCAGATAATGGACAAACAATGATAATTTTCGAGGGAAATTGTGGTTGCCAACATCACTGTCCAAGTGTAGAACCGTTTTTAAATTCCAATTTGTGTTGAACCTTTTACTTCGTATGTTGAACGCTGCTTCAGATAATGGACAAACAATGATAATTTTCGAGGGAAATTGTGGTTGCCAACATCACTGTCCAAGTGTAGAACCGTTTTTAAATTCCAATTTGTGTTGAACCTTTTCTACTCGTTTATTTTTCATGCTAAATCTTTTATTGAATAACTCAATGATTTATGAAATATATTTTTGAAATTAAGAAAATAGGCAAGTGCATAAACAGAGGCGAATAATTTATTGATGTGCAATTTTGAAATAAACTCTTGCCTTCAAAAGTTTTTCCAAATTCTGGAAGTTGAAGGAGACCGATTCTTTCAGTGAGGTTAGCTGGAGTTTCCAACTGCAATATGGCGATGTCATTTTCAAATGTGAACCTGTTGGAGAAGAAAAAAAATCATGTTGAATCATCCATAAAGTTTTCCGATTTTTAAATCTCTCATCCAAGAATATGAAGTTCAAATCACACAAGAAAAAATTGATATCTAAAATATTTTGGAGAAAAACCGTTTTATTTTGGCCCAAATGCTCATAGTATATAGTATAATCTGTTAGTTGGCAACGTTTCTATACTGTTTCATTGGAGGTTACTCTTTGATCTGCCGAATTTTATTTTTTTACTTTAAATATTCAAAATACACAAAAAATTAAATTTGCTGTTAATACAGTCTCCTCTTGATTGCCTTCCTGATTTGAAATTTGAAAAATTGCCTTTTCTTTGCTCTGCCACTTCAATATTCATCTGAAAAAATCAATATTTTATCAAAATTAATTTTTTATCTAATTTTTTTCAGACATGTCAAAATGGACTGTTTGATGAATTACACTTTCAGTCACAATTATTATATTAATTAGGTGGACTATCTCTGCAAAGATGTGGTCTACAACAATTTTCTCTATGTAAAGAATTCTTTGATGGTCCCTCAGGGTTCTCATCTCCCTATGTTACATAGAGGTTCTCTACAACAGAATTCTCTCTACTACAAATTTATTTCTGGTTCTTTCAGTTTTGTTGTACAGAGATTCCACCTTTTTTAGCTTATTATATACTCACGAATTGTAGTCCTCATGCTCGAATATTCCATTCACTTTTATCTCCACTTCAAACTCATCTGTGATTTGCCTGTTATGCTCCCCCAGTTTAACCTACAAAATGAAGGACATTGATATAAATGGTTCAAGGACATTTATTGACATGGTGTTGAAAGATTTAAATGAAGAAGAAGAAGAAGAAAAGAACTGCAAATGCTGCTCACAGAGTATTCATTTCTTGAATGTCCATGCACACAATGTGCTGCAGTAACCACATAACTGGGGTTAATCAAGGAACCTCCACACCAATGAGATGGGATGAGATTCTCCCAGGGACGTTGTACAGACACCATGTAAGGGAATTCTCCTGTTGAAATAATCACTTGATTTCACAAAAAGCCTATTACATGAGGGCATCTCTAAGTTGAAATAATATAAGGGACTATAGGAAAATATTTTTACCTCAAGCGTTTTTGAGTTGGAAACTTTGGCCTCATTTGTTGGGAATAAATCCAGACAAAGAAAAGGTTTGAATTAAATTGAAAGCTTAGAAAAGATTTTGGAAAATAAAACACGATGATTTGGTCGGGCTACAACCAGGGTGCAAAACACCCTATTTTAAGGTTGGTATACTTCAATACAGTATTACAACAGAAATTTGCAAAATCTCGGAGAACGTTCTCACACAAAAGTTTGATTTGGACTGTAATAAAATAGTTGAATTTGGAAATCAGGAAAACTGTCCTTCAAGGACAAAAAACAGCAACAGGAACTTGGTAATAAAATCCAGCCTTGGAGGCTGCCAAACATCCGTGGGAACCAAGGTCTTCCAAGATTCCCACACAGATAGAATTAAAGACTAAATTTGCTGGGAAATTTGGGTTCTCTAAAGCTAGCGTATCAAATTTAATATAGTTGTTGAAATATTTGCAACACCATTTGTGAAAATTATTCAAAGGATAATTTTTAAGTCCAAGTTATAGGAACTGTTGAATATTCATAGATTTATAACCTGCAGGTAATTTCTTTATTCCTTGTCCTGTACAAAGTATTCAGGCAATAATTTGAATTTTTATGGGACATATTTTCTATGATTCCCCTCAAGATTATTTACCAAAAGGTAAAACATATTGACGGAGGGGTGTTTGATCCAAACTGCTTCAAGTTATATAGGGAGGGTTTAAGTGCATTGGTATTGAGCAGAAAATTGGCCTTTGGGGTTCATAAGTTTTAGTTGTAGAGTTTGTACTTGGCAATATCTTACTGAACAATACTTGGGATCCATTTTGAAAATTTTCTTTTGAATTTATTGTAAACTAAAGAAAAAGGGATTTGCTCATGGATCACATTTAAAGACTAGCATTGGGTGCAAGCTAAGATTCCCTGCATTTCTTTGCTGCCAAGGGTTTGAAAAAATATTCATTGACATAAAAGCTTTATTTGCTGCTTGTAAGCATTCCTAAGGTCCAACAATTTTTACCGCATCCACTTAAGATGCCCATTTGATGCCTTAAGGCCTTTCAAAAATAATTTATAGTCTGGTATTGAGAGAAAATACTGTAATCATATTGCAATACTTTCAAATGCAAGAATAATGAATTACCATAATCTTGATGACAAAGATCACAGTACAAGGCAATTACTGAGCACAAATTGAAGCACAGCATGTTCAGTCTGTTCTTTAATAGGTTTTAACCCTTGGGCAGCAGTGCTAGGATCTATCTTCAAAATGTTGTTCCCCAAATGAGTATAAAAAAGGGGAACAAAAATGATTAGAAGAGCCAAAGTCTGGAAAAATCCCATTTTTTTGCATTCCTGCACAAAAAATTGAAAGGAAAAAAAATACTGTTGGGTGGCATTTTTTCTGCATTCCTGCGATAGGATTAGCATTGGGGGATTATCAGGACAATGACTTTCTTTTTGCAAGATTTCTCCCAACTTTGGCTTCTCAGCCAATACTGCATTTTGGTGACTTTTGGTCAAACCATAATGCAAAATCCTGCAAAAAATACAGGCACCACTGCCCTATGCAAAACAAAAAAACCGCTGCCACCCAAGGTTTAAATGCATCAAAATTTCAAAAAAATCTTTGAGAAAAAATTACATGAAGCTAGCACTTCATCCTGCAAAAAATATTATTATGTAGAATTCACAAAAAAAAATACATCAAAGTTTCATGCAGTCTTTGACTCACCTGGTTCAGCAATTGTGCCACCAACAATCTTTCCATTTTGGTTTTGTGCATTAGCAAATGCAGCTGAAATTATTAAAATATGCATTGATTTCTCAGGAAATACATTATAAATAACAATGGAGAATATACACAATGTTCATATCACAACTTCACATCCTTTATAAACATACTGTCCTTGATTTCCTTGCTTACCGTAAAACAAAAAATGTAGAGATGCAAGAAAGAGTATGGGATTCATTGTCAAGTTCAAATTACGTTCTGGAAAAATACTAGAGAACTGAGGCCATTATCAAAATTTTCACGATATCTAATCGCAAAGCATTCTCATGCTGCTTACACCTGGTCTTAAACCGAAATTTCCAACTAAAATCAATAATGTGTGGAATATGAAAAAATGGCCAACAATTTTAGTTCCATGTGTTTAAACGGGCATCATTTTCATTTGCTGAAGGTTGACACAGAATTAAAACTGCTGTCATCAACAGCAAATCACAAAGCACTTCAATGAACATTAATACTGTATGGTCAAATTTAAATTTATATTCTCCCTTCCATACATAATGTCATAAAATTCAGATGAACTCTGAACATACTGTATCCTCCTCAGTGAATTCAAGATGTTCCAAAAAAAAAGTAAAAATCATGATTGACATCATCTTTCACACAGAAACAAGCCCTACATGGACTTCAAAGCTGAGATCAATAAGCAAAATAACCGGTGCAAAAATGGGTTTGATACAAAAATGCAGAAAAAAAATATTTTCTTTAAAAAATTAACATCATCAGTGATCCAAATCTCAAGAATTGTGAACCATCTTTCAAAACTTACAATTGTTACAGTATAGGGCCTTCTGCAACAACCCTTATTATCGATTCCAGGAACCAGTTTGTTGCTCAAGGCATTTGATATCCAAGAGATCAAGACGCAATTCAATTCATAGTAAATCTTGAAAAATCATTCAAATGGTTTCAGCAAGGAATGGAATTAAGTTATAATAAGCACAAAATTCCAAGAACACACTGAAAACATTAGTTATATACTGTTAATGTTTTCCTGAAAATCACTGGCTTTTATGAAAAAAAAGCAAAAGCACAAATATTCAACTGCTCAACTAAAATTCACAAAAAATCTATTGTCAAGAATGAATCACAAAAAACACCCAAAAATTGAATTTGTGATCCACAATCCATACCCTTGCATTGAGGATTTTTTGAGGAAGAATACCTTATATATGTATTATACATACAAATATATAAAAGAATTTGTGCTTGAACCCAAATGAAAAACCTCTTCATTAAAGAATGTTTGAGAATATGTTTCTTGAATCTGATGTTAAGGTGATGGACTCTCTCTACAACAAAATTGAAGGGGCCAGAAAAGATTCATTGTATGAACACAGTTTAAAATCAAAAACATATTTGATATAAAGAAAAGATTGTTGTGTAGTCAAGATTGTTGCAGAGAGAAATTCCTCCCAAGAACCCCTAAAATTTAAATTGAGATTAAAAAATACTTCACCAAGAATTTTGAAACTGAGGAGATAATCAATCGAACCCTTGGTCAGCAGAGGGTTCTTTTTCATTGCGCAGTTGAATCAGAATTTTTTTGTGGGGTTGGTCTATTTCAGTTTGACCCAAAAGATCACTAAAATGCTCCCATATTGAGAAGGCATAACTTGGGAAAAATCCAGGAGGCAAATTTTCTATTGTTTTCAGGATTATCCCATGCAAATCCTATGCAAGGAATGCAGGAAAAAACACCACTCAGTGAAGGATTTTTCATTTTATTCATTCAAAATTTTCTGTAGGATTATAAAAAAAAACTGGACTTTTTCCAGACATAGGCCTGGGTACAAGAGTAGGATTTTTTAAAATTTCCCGTGCGCGTCAGTGGCACAAAATTTTGCAAAAATATTCCAACTTTGCTGCACAAGGGTTAAAAACAGCATAAGAAAATAACTTCAAAATTAAACTTATTCTATTGAAGTGAATCAAATGTTCCCATCTGCACACACAGACCAATCCTCCTCATAATAGAACATCAACAATTTCACCCTATAGATGGAAGAGATAAAAAATCCTTCCCTGTGACAACAATGTTAATACTAATAGAAATAATAAATAATAAAATTAAATGAAAACCTTCAATGCATGGCATACATTTCTAACCATTATTTTCTAGTGAATCCTCACGTCATGGTCACAACTTTCATCAGCTCTCCCGAAAAATCACAAATCATCTCATCATTAATCACCAGGTTACATCAGTTAAACATAATTAA